ACCCACAACCTTCCACTTCTGCTTCCTGGCTGGCCCCATTCCTGGAGCGTGGACCAGGCGTTGGCACTCAGGCATGCAGAGGATGGAAAGAAAACACTGCCAGCTTCCTGTTGGGGATTTCTCCTTGGGGTGATTGGAAAATCCAGCACAGCCATTCACAGGGCTCTGCTGCAGAGCTGGGCCTGGTCTGGGAGAAGGAACCTGCACCTTCACTCCTCCCTTCCTCTCTCCTTCGTGCTGTCCTGACTCCCACATCCCTAAGCTCAGCCCCACCCTGACCCCACAATCACACCTGCTGGCCTGGTGAGCTGGTCCTTTCATGCAGCCCACTGGCTCCCAAACTGCAGGGCCCAGAGCCTGGGATTGGATGGTGCACTCTGTGTCCATGCACAGCTCGAGGGAGCAGGTCCTTTTTCAGTCCCGAGTCCCCTAGCTGCTCCGAGACTCGGTTCTGATGGGATCTAGGGACACCTGGGCTCTGGTGCTTTTCCTCAGGCAACTGCTGCGAATAAAAGCTAGACACTAGAAGGAGTGTTTCCTAGAGTGTGGAGCACAGAATCGCTGGGGGTGATGGCGGGGCTGGGGTGTCTGTTTAAGTTTCAGATTCCTGGGCCTATCCAGGTTGAAAGGCCCAGAATGCCGGGGCCCAGCCGGCTGCAGCTTTTAGCGAGCTCTCAGGGTGACGCTCCTGCGTGGGGACCAGTGCTGCTCAGAGTGAGGTTCATAGTCAAGCAGTTTTTGGGGTCCTTTCCCAGCCCTGCTGTTTCAGACACTGGGGGAGGGACCCGTCAGTCAGGTGTAAGAAGCGCTGCTGACTGACATTTGAGAAGCGGGAGGACCACAGCTGGGGGAGGGCCACAGCTGGATGAAATCGGTGTGCAGCTGCAGGTAGATGGGCCCCTCGAGGAGCGAGGGTGGTGTTTGCTGCAACAGCCCCACGAGGCAGGACCAAGGAGGGGCCTGACATTCCCTGGAGGCTGCTTTCTAAGACTGAGAAGTCCTGAGAGGCCACCTGCCGGCCAGTCCTGAGTCCCCGTCAGGTCTGTGTCCAGAGCTGCGCAGAGCGGCCGCAGTGGAAGAATCCCACCCAGACACCCTTCTCCTCTGTGAGAGAACGGGAATAGGAGAGGCCTGGGGGAGCGCAGAGGGATGCTCCTGGGTGTGGAGGAGAAAGCGGGCTGTTGGGTTGTAACAACTGTGTTCCCTGCTGTCCTGGGCAGTGAGGTTGGACAGGCATTGGGGGGGTAGGGTGTGTGTGTGGGGGGAAGCCCTGCCCAGCTCCCTTCTGAACCCCAGGGTCCCGGGAACAACTTTGCCAAGACAGCAGGCCCCGGTGGTGGCTTCTTTTGAGAAGAATCAGAGGCCAGAATTACCCAAAGACTAGATGAGCAGATTTCTTAATTTTCAAAAAGGTGGGGCAGAGTGTGAATGTTGGGTTAGAGGAGCAGGAGGATCCCTGCAGCCTCCCAGCACATGCCATAGTTGGGAAGGGAAGAGGGGGTGCACCCCGAGGCTGGCCAGCCTTTCTCTGGCGGTTAGATTGGAAGGCTCTGGGCGTGGGAGAGTATTACACCCTTACCTGATGGGGACCCTCTTACACTGCTGTGAACGTGGGGAAGCGTGCGCTGTTTTGTGCTGGGTTAGGTGGCCCGCTGGCTGCTGGTACCTGTGCCACTGTAGTGTGGCTGGGGGTGGTCAGGAGTGAGTTTGGCAGTGTCTGTCCTTGGCCCTTTCTGTACCGTGGATGTTAAATAAAGCTGAGTGAGCACTGAGATGTTTGAGGTTGGTCAGAATCCCAGGAGATCTCAGAAGGCTGAGCTCTGGCAGAGGTAAGGGAGGAATGTGACAGGAATCTGCCTGCCTCAGAGCTCAGCTATCAGAACACCCGTGTTGCCAGTACAGGATGTAGGAGGGAGAAGGGAGAGGACAGTCCCACCTTTACTCTCCAGCCCACACCTGGGCCTCTGAGAAACAAGGGAGTAGGGCGTAGCCCTGAAGCTACTCTGGCCGGAGATGGTAGGAAATGGCTGTTCTCAGGAGGGGAGCCTGGAGGTCTGGGGGAGAGAGGGAGACCCAGAGAGGAAGGACTGCTCCTTGGATGTGGGATTGGACCCAGCCTGCGGGCACTGAGGGCAGCGCTCATTGCCAGGGGAGATCCTGGTTCTTGCTGGGGCCTCGCCACGAGCACCCTGGAGGCCGGCGGAGGCTGATCTGAGGTCTGGGGTCCAGGCCCCAGTCTGGTGTATTTATTTAGCCGTGCTAACCCCAGGCTCAGAGAGGGGCTGTCTTGGACTGAATGGATCCTGTGTCTGCTATACATATCTTGCAAGAACAGCCACAGCCTCCAGTGAGCTCAGAAATCCCCACCTGAATTGGGCCTTTTTAAAGTTGTTTTTCATAGGCAATACTTACGTGGCAAAAATGCAAACACAAACAGTAAGCTTCATTTCTGTCTCCGCTTTTTTCTCCAAAAGCAACCAGTGTTACCCAGTTTCTTGTTTCTTGTTCCAGGGATGGTCTCTGTGCATGTGTGTATATATACACACACCACTAAGCTTGTATGGTTAGGTTTTCTTTTTTAAAAATATTAGTATTATTCCTTGATTAATAATGGAGATCATTTCATGTCCCCATATACAGAGCTGGCTGATTCTAAAAGTAGCGACAGAGTACCCATTGTAGGGCTCCGTGGCGATGTACTTAGGGCACACGTAGGGGTTTGTTGTAACTAGTGCTGCCGTCACCATGTGCGGATGCCCCCTCCCATGGTGTCCGTGTATCTGCGAAAGTGTACTTCCAGAAGTCCAGTCTCTGGGTCAAAGAGGGTGTCATTTGAAACTGCTGTATTTTTCATTGGCGTTCTCAGCGTACAGTGAGAGTGAACATCTTTAATCTTCAGTTCCTTTTCTGTAATTGCCTGTTCACATCATTTTAGTTTTTCTAGTGGTCTTTTTATTATAAAACATTTTTCTTAAGTTTGTCATTTCTCTTGTCTTTAAAATGTGTGTGTGTGTGTGTGTGTGTGTGTGTGTGTGTGTGTGTTTCTTTGATCCAGAGAGAGGGATAGAAATATCAGTGATGAGGCAGAATCATTGACCAGCTACTTCCTGCACGCACCCTATTGGGGATCAAGCCCTCAACCTGGGACCTAACCATGACTTTCCTGGTTCATAGGCCCGATCGGTGTCCAGCCCTGGAGCCACACTGGCCCGGCTCTCTTGTCTTTAGGTTGTTTTCCTTATTTGTCTCTTACCACGCAGAACATTAATTTTATATATTTGGGGTTTGACGCCACTTCTTACATTTAAATCTTTGGTCTGGCTGAATTTTATTTTGGGGGATGGAACAGGTTAGTTTCTTGCTTTTGTGGTGGTTTTTTTCTGCCACCTTCCTATGGCCCTTGGGCTTCAGTGCTCTGGGAGGAGATGAGACGTGGACAGGGGTCTTTGGTGCCCAGAGCTTCTGCATAGTGATGTCTCCAGAGAGAAGGATATCAGGACACAGCCGCAGCTTGCCTGTTCCCTCTGCCTCTCGTCACTTCCGGCTCACCCATCACTCAGATCCCGGGACCTGTCCACAGCAGCAAGGTCTGAGGTTCTGGCAGAGGGTCAGGCTGAGGGCAGGACCTGGAAGGCTTTGTGCTGACCACTCACCAGCCACAGGGAGATGAACCAGCCTTAGGGCTGCCCCATTGGGGTTCATGCTGTCCTGACTCTCACATCTTGACCATCAGGCCACAGCGTACAAGGAAAGGGGTCTATGGTCCATGCTGCAGGTAGCCAGTCCTAGCTCTCTCCAAGGTCACTTAGCCATCGTCTGGCCTCAAGATTGCTTTGCCTACTGTCACCGCTCTGCCCATAGACCAAAACAAATGAGCTCGGCCATGGGGCTAAGAACCAGGCCACCCTGTGGGGACTGGTGGTACCTTAAGAAAGGCTTGCAGCCCCCATGAAAAGTGCATTCCCAGTTCTCCAGCTCAGCCAAGAGCAACTGGAACCTCATAGGTAGGCAGCAGTGTCTCACAGCGGGGCCCTGGGCCCGCAGGCAGCATCACCTGGGAACTTGTGAGAAATGCAGATTCTGGTTCTGCTAACCCAGACTCTGTAGGTGGAGCCCACTGTGGAGATGAACAAGTCTCCAGGTGGTTCTGGTGCCCACAGTTTGGGAACCAGGGGGGCCCAGCATGGAAGGAGCAGCTCACCGGGCCAGCAGGTGTGATTATTAAGGGGGCCTACAGGTTTGGTCACACTCCCTCGCCTGCCATTGGGTGCCTCTGCAAACCGCAGCGGCCACTGATTAGCAAGAGTGGCCGATGTCACGGCAGATCTGCGTCGCTCCTGGGCAGTTGAATTGGCTGGGACACGGCAGAGGGGCTGTATTCAAAGCGGCCTGGCTTCCAGGCCTGTTTCCTCCTCCTACCTCTGATCTGCAAGTCGCTTATCTTTGCTGAGCTCCTGGCCTTGGTTCTTAGGAGCTGCCTGGTGCTGCCTCACTTGCCTGATTCCACCTCCTGGATCAGGTGAGCTCCTGAGGTCCTTCCTTGTTCCTGGGACAGTGATTCCCTGCCAGGTTCCCTTGAGGAATGAACCAGAGGTTGGAGAATGAGAGTGTACCCAGGCTGGCCAATCTGCAGGTTGGGCACAGGGAGATGGGCTCTGGCCCCCTGCTGGATGGATGGTGATAAGGGCACTGGGAGATGGAGACAAACAGAGGTGGGAATGAAACTTAGGTGAAAGAGGTTTTCAGGGAAGCCCACCGCTCATGGGTGGCAAGTCCTATAGTGTGAGTGTGAGTGTAAGTGTGTGAGTGTGTGGGTGTGCCTGAGCTGGAGGCCCTGGCAGGTAGAGAGTAAACTGGTTGCCACAGTCCAGACTGATGCAGTTTCTCCTGCAGGGGCCTGGCTTGTGGCTGTTGCTGTTCTCCTGAGAAGTTTCTGGTTAGGCTGGTGGGAGCTCCCGGCAGAGCCTGAGCGATTTTTTTTCTTCCTTTCAGATTTGACCATGAGCTACCCAGGCTACCCCCCGCCCGCAGGCGGCTACCCCCCAGTTGCACCAGGTAAGAGTGTGTGTGGGGAGGAGAGGAATAAGATTGTTCCCCACAGTATAGCCAGGTGGGGTGGCGGCTGGAGGAGAGCAGAGGCCCTGAGGCTTCTCCTGGCTCTGTTGTCTCCTTTGCAAATGGCTTCAAGGATCTCTTCCCCCACTGGGCTGTCCCAGATGCTAACGAGAGCCAAAGCCTCTGGCACAGTGTCCTGGGTGCACTATCAGGTGGCTAGTCACTTCTGTGCTCAGGGCTCAGGTTCCCCCTGCGGGTAGGGAAGAGGGTGGGGGAGTGAAGGCGGACTGTGAGGGCCCCACGTCCTGCAGCCGCACCAGCCATAGTGCTGCTCTGCACACCCAGAGTTCCTCTGGCCCCCGGATAGGAGGGACACATGAGGGCTCCTGGGACAAGGGGGGAAGGGGCCATTCTGGACTGGTCATCCTGAGGTGGCCTGAGCTACGATGTCCCTCGCCACATAAGATCCCTGAGCACATTCATTTCTCTAGAGCTGAGGCTCTGGAGTCTGAGCACTGAGGGCCCCGCAGGCCATTTGTGACGGTCAGGCCCAGAGCTGGGAGGCTCAGCTGCTGGCTCATCAGTGGACTGGGCCATTGCGCTCCGAGCCAGCCCTTGTCCTGATTTGCCTGCGCTGGCCTGAGTCCCCTCTCCCTAACCTGTTTCCCCGAAAATAAGACAGTGTCTTATATTAATTTTTTCTCCCAAAGTCGTGCTAGGTCTTATTTCCAGGGGATGTCTTATCTTTCCATGCGCTATGTCTTATTTTCGGAGGATGTCTTATTTTCGGAGGATGTCTTATTTTCGGGGAAACACGGTAGTAGGAATCCTATCATCTGAGCACCTGAGCAGCAAGAGAGCAGGCAGATGACTTGGGAAGGCTCTGTCCTGAGTGTTCATAGCCCTGTAGCGCAAAAGATCGAGGCCCCAGGGCCCGTTTGCTGCCAAGAACAGAATGCATCCAACAGGTCAGCAGCCAGCACGATGACGCCAGCTGGGCTGCGAGCTGCTTGCAGTGACAGCGGCAGCATAGCGCCCTGGGCACCCAGCTAGGCCCTGGTGGGCGTTAGCTCAGCCTCGGCATGGCAGTGTGAAGCAAACACTAGTTATTGTCCCCTTGACCCCAGAGGAAACGGAACTTTGGTGTGGGTGCCCGCCCCAGGACACAGCCCCTGGTTCTGCTGGCTCCAGAGCTGGGCTTTTTACTGAGGTCCCCCTCTGTCCCCACAAGGACGGTGTCTGTGTTTAACGTGACTCAGGCCCATCTTCTTTCCTCCTCCAACCTGCTCCTCCCTGCCTCTTGCGACTTACAGCCACCGTGTCAGCCTCCCCGCTCCACCACGTATTTGCATCTCCCTGGATTCTCAGTCTCCCTGAGCTCCTGCTGTCAGTGTCCTAACATGACCTGTCCTTGCGTCTGCACTCTTGCTCTACAATGGGGAGTCTGGGCTGGGGTGGAGGGGGGGGGGCAGACCTGCCCTTGACCTCCCGCACCCTCAGTACCCCACAGAGGGCTTGGGGGTGTTGCTGAACTACTCCTTCCCTCCCCGGACAGAGACGAAGGGCCCCCCTTCCCTTCCTCCGGCAGGGGGACTGGGTTAGACTTGCTTGCCTGTGTGTTCTGTGTGGCCTGTAGTGCTGTCTCCGAGACCCTGCTTGGCCTGCCCCTGGGCCACCTGGGAGCTTGCCGTCTCTGCCTTTCCCTGTTGGGGGGCTGACCCGGGGCTAACGGGCTTGGTGTTGCTTTCAGGTGGTGGTGCCTGGGGAGGTGCTGGCTACCCCCCACAGCCCAACATGCCCCCTATTGGGCTGGATAACGTGGCCAACTACGCGGGGCAGTTCAACCAGGACTACCTCTCGGGAATGGTGAGTCCAGCCCTTCTGCTGGGCTGCCCTAGGCCCACTCCTGCATGGCCAGGGCGTAAGGCTGCTGGCTTCCAGGGTGTTGGGGGGGCTGTGTGTGTTACGTGTGGATGCTGAGTGTACTGAGGGGCATTTTGGACATAGGGGCTTTTGTCGGGGCTCTCACCTGCTCACTGTCCCTCTCTGCCTCTACATTTGCAGAGGCAGAGAATTTAGTGATGGGGGATACATTGGCAGGCAGTCTGTTAGGTCCTTTTTGGCTCTTTGGGGCTGGGTAGGGTGGTGCCTTTTGTATGAGCTCAGAATTTAGGACCAGCAGGGAGGTGAGAGTGGGTATGTGTATGTGTGCATGCGCATTGTACAAATGTCCATCTGTGTGTGTGTGTTTGTGTGTATGATTGTGTGGGTGGCTGTTCAGCTTGGGCCTGGGAGTGGGTTCCTGGTAGCATGGACAGACATGCTACTCTTACTTGTTGGTTTGCTTTTGTAATCTAATCTAATCTAAAATGGCATACTTTGTAATCTAAGCAAATGTATGCTCAGTGTAAACAGTGCACCCAGTAGGCAGTCTAATTTGTGCCGGGCCCATCCTGGGTACTGGGACCTGTGAATGAAACAACCCGCGGCCTTAGCCCTGGAGTACTTGTTACCCCCTGGGAAGAGATGGGCAGTTGCCATGGTAACCGTGCGATGCTAGAGCCAGTGTGGGGGTTTTGGGCACAAGAGCAGGCGGAGTCAGCAGTGCAGGTGCTAGTGCTCCCAGGGCAGCGCCGGGGCCTGCAGGCGCAGGCGCAGGGCAGGGCGGAGGGAAGGCTGATAGGGGACTGGGTTGGCTTGCTCACCCGGCTGTTTTCCGTGGGGCCTGCATGTTGTCCTGGGCCTGCTTGGCCTCCTCATTAGTCTTAGGCTCTTCTCTGCTTTGTGGACTTTCAGGCGGCCAACGTGTCCGGGACATTCGGAGGAGCCAACATGCCAAACATATACCCCCCTGGTGCCCCTGGCGCCCCTGGGGGCCCTGGGGGCGGTTACCCTCCTCTGCCGCCTGGGGGCTTTGGGCAGCCCCCTTCCACGCAGCAGCCTGTTCCTCCGTATGGAATGTACCCGCCCCCTGGCGGAAACCCTCCGTCTGGGATGCCTTCATACCCGCCCCCTGGAGGAAACCCACCATCCGGGATGCCTTCATACCCGGCATACCCAGGGGCCCCTGCACCAGGCCAGCCCATGCCGCCTCCCGGACAGCAGCCCCCAGGAGCCTACCCTGGGCAGCCACCAATGACCTACCCTGGGCAGTCGCCCATGCCACCTCCTGGGCAGCACCCGCAGCCGGTGCCAAGCTACCCATCATTTCAAGGTTCCGGGACCGTCACCCCTGCCGTGCCCCCATCTCAGGTGAGTGCCAGCCCTGTGCTACCCTCCGTCCCAACCTGGCTCCAAAGGCCCTGTGTCCTGCCAGCGAGGCCGGGAGGGTGTGGATGGACAGGCTTGGGCTCAGGCCTCTAGCAATAACTTCTTGTCTTAATCCTCACCCGAGGATATGTTTCTATGATTTTAGAGAGAGTGGAAGAGAGAGGGAAAGACAGAGAAATATCGATGTGAGAGAAACAACACATTGATTGGTTGCCTCCTGCATGTGCCCCAACCAGGGCCAGGGCTGCGGAGGTTCAATTGACCGGAATTGAACCCGGGACCCTTCGGTCCACAGACCGACACACTATCCACTGAGCCAAACCAACCAGGGCTGTGACTACTTCTTGCTTTAACGGAGTGTCACTTTCTCAGACTCCCCAGGCCTGGTGTGAATTCCTGAAGAGCAGGGAGCTGTCCCCTTTCCCCCGATTTGGTTAAATGTTCTGAGTGCGAGTTGGTGAATGTCCGGCTGCTCTCCATGCCTCTGTGTTGGTTACCTACTGCCTGGGCTCAGGCTTTATGCTCAATAGCTCTGAGCCTTCAGCTCCTGGATGGGCCCCCACCCCCCAACCCCCACCCCGCTCACTTGAGAGGATTTGTAAAACCTCCCAGTAGGGAACATGGTTGGCCTTTCCTCCAGAGCTGCTCTTGGCTCCTTTGGGAGAGCAGTTTGTGTTTGCAGAGCCTAGAATTCATTGTCATGGTTACATGGCCAAGCCAGCCAAGTGCAGTGCTAGTGATATGTGCTTGATGACTATTTTCAAACAGAGGGTCCCCTCTCTTCCCTATGCCCTACATCCCCCCGTCCCTGCCCTGCTCTCCTCCCTCCCTCCCTTCCTCCCTTCCACCTCATCTCTTCCCTGAGCTTATCTCCATAGCTGTTAAAATCAGTGCATTAGCCACAGGAGCTAGCCCACTGTGAGGCGGCTGAGGCAGGGAAATGAAGTTTGCTGGGAGCATGGCTGCCAGCGTCGGGGAGTGAGGCGGCAGCAGGTTATAGAGTCTAGAGGAGGTGCCAGGAGCTGGTGCTGGTCCAGGAGGTGGTCAGGCTGCTGGGCCATCGTGTAGGGTGGGCTCCTACATCCCCCCAGAGAAGTCACCTTTTCCAGTTTGCACAGAGGTGCTCCGTGGACCAGCCAGGCTCCATTAGCGATGCTTTGGTGGTAAGGCATCGAGGAGAAGCCAGCGGCTCCTGCGCCTGAGGCCTCCCTTTCAGCAGGAGCCCAGGCCACCCCGGAGACCTGGGGGGAGGGCCGATTTTCAGCACCAGGACTCGGCTGTACATGGGCTCCAGCCACGGGAGCGAGCCAGGCAGAGCGCCAGTACCTGGACGCAGGACAGATAATGGCCACGTGGGACCACTCAGTGGGCTCCCCTGTGCTGTTCACTGTGAGCTCCTTCAGCTACCCCAACTTTCACATAAAGGTCATTCCCAGAGTCGGGTGGGGCAGTCGCATCTGGGGATGCTGCATCTTACCTGTCTGTCTGTCTCGCAGTTTGGGAATCGAGGGACCATCACAGACGCTCCTGGCTTTGACCCCCTGAGAGACGCCGAGGTCCTGCGGAAGGCTATGAAAGGCTTTGGTGAGCGTTCCCGATGGCTCAGATGCTCACCCCCCCCCCCCCCCCCCCGCCCACACACACACACCCTAGGCAGTTACCCGGTGGCTCTGTGGGTGGGTCACTGGGTCGAGGCGGCCTGGCCTTAGTGGTAGTGGAGAGAAGATGGATGTGGGGGTGCATTGGGGGACCCAGAAGAAGGGGAGTCTTCCAGCTGCAGAACATCCCACGACCCCCAGCCCTGCCCACTCGCACCTCTGCCTCCCCCAGGGACTGACGAGCAGGCCATCATCGACTGCCTGGGGAGTCGCTCCAACAAGCAGCGGCAGCAGATCCTCCTGTCCTTCAAGACGGCGTACGGGAAGGTGAGAGGCCGGGGGCGGGTCCAGGGGGTCCGGTCCCCCTGACCGAGGCGGCCTCCAGCACAGCCCTGCTCGCCCTGCTCTTCCTGGGGGCAGTGAGGCACATCAGGGTATTCCTGCTGCCCACGGCTGATGGCATCTCCTAGGGGTGAACGATGCTCTGAGGGGGAAACCGGAGTCCACAGGAAACTGAAATTTGATGACAGGCGCCAGACATCGGGGTTCTTGCCCCAGCGCTGCCTCAATCACCGAGCCCCTAGGCAGGGGATTCCCTCCCCCTGGCCTGGTCCTCTCCGGGGAGCCTGGCTGCTGTCCTGCCCTCTTCTCCGCCACCCTGAGGCTCAGCTGGGAGAAGGGCTTGAAGGAAAAGGCTTTCAGGACTGACCAGATGCAAGGGGCATATTTGGAACCTTTGAATCTTAGGAAGGTAGAACCTGCGTAAGTATTGTGTAGGCCAGTATTCCAGCATCAGTGTGCCACGGACCCCTTGGGACCGGTGCAGACGCAGCTCCGGTTCCACAGGGCTGGGCTGGGGATGGAGAGTGCTCCGTGGACCAGCCAGTGCTCCCGCCTCACATCTGTGAAGTAGTCCCTGTCCGTCACCTCTGGAGTCTCTAAATAGGGTTGTTGTTTGTTTGAATATCCAAACAGGATTTGATCAAAGATCTAAAATCTGAACTGTCAGGAAACTTCGAGAAGACTATCTTGGCGCTGATGAAGACCCCAATCCTCTTTGATGTTTACGAGATAAAGGAAGCCATCAAGGTGTGTAAGCATGCGTGTATGTGCGTGTTCATACATGTGGACACAGCCCAGGGGAGGGCCTGGATCACGTGGTGTGTCTTAGCCCGCTCACTAGCTACCTTTGTCAGTTTGGCTCCGCCAGCCCCTCGGGACCTTCCGGTGACTCCCCGAGAGGAAAGCGGAGGGTCATTCATTGTCCGGGACCATCCAAGTGTCTCCATCTTAATGACGTGGTGGGAGCTGGGGCTGTTGAGGGGTATGAGGCATGGGTGGGCTCATCCTTATTAGCAAATGGCAGAGGCACCTGGAGCACTTGCGGCAGAACAGAGAGGATCGGAGGATCGGTTATGAGCACAGAGAGGAACAGCCTGGCGTGGGGACAGATGGGACAGGGATGTCACTGCAGACACCAGGCGGGCGCTCTCGCCGCTGCTTCTGAGTCCACTCTGTGCTTCCATCTGCTCCTGCTCCCTCCTCGTCTGTCGGCGAGGCCCCTGTCCATTTACCTGCCAGAGGTCCAGCCACAGCGGCTCCTGAGTCCAGGTTTTGAATGGCTCAGTGTGGTTTAGTACCTGCCCAGCCTCTCAGTTGTGACCAAGAGGAGGGTTCTCTGCATGCCGTACGCCTGGGGATCCCCAGGCCCACAGTGGGGTCCCTGTGGATGGGAGGGCAGCCCGCAGAGGAGTGCTCTGGGAGGAATCGAACATTTCCTCCGTGGCGGAGAGGCGAGGCGGGGAGGCGCAGTGACCTTGCCTGCCCCAGGAGAAGAGGGAGAGCACCCGGTGTGGAGCTGGACGGAGAGGCCCCCCTGAAGCACCCTGTGTGCTTTCTTCTCCCGAGGGGTCAGGAGGCAGTTGCGGAGGGCACCTGGGAGTGGCCCTAAACCTCTGGCCAGCCCCCGCCCCAGCCATTCATGAGTTGTTGGTGGTTGTGGGGTGCTGGAAGCAACCAGGCGTGGGGTCAGCTGTCACTGACTAGTGGTGTGTCCTTGAGCACCTGTGAAATGGGACGGTGGCTGCCCAGTGTATGGACCGGTGAGCTGAGGCCAGGGTGGCCGAGTGGTGTGTGAGTTAACACAACCAGTTCGCAGCAGGGCCGAGACTCAGACCGACAAAAGCCAGGCTGGTGCCCTGCCTCCCTCGTCCTCACTGTTCCCTGGACGTCTGCCAATGCCCACGGTCCATGCTGAGGCTCGTTTTCCTGCCTGCCCACTCTCGCTTTAAACCATTCTCTCATTGTTCTCATCTCATTTATGCGCTGAACTTGGGAGAGCACAGTTCCGAGCCCCCATCTCAACCCACTGTGCCTGGGACAAATCACTGCGCCTCTGATTCTCAGGTTCCCGGTGGGTAGAAGGGGGACGATTCTCCATGTGGTCCCCTCATTGCCACGTCCCTGTCACCTGGGGCTGCGGAGGATGGCGGGCTGCTCTCAGAGGGACAGCCACACAGGGGTTCTGTGGCTTCTGTTGCTGGGATTTGTACCTGGGGAGCCGGGCAGTGGCATGGCGCTGGCTCTTTCCTGGATGCCAGTGAGGGAGCGTAACTAACTGTGGTTTGCGGTGCCCTCTGCAGGGGGCTGGCACGGACGAAGCCTGTCTGATCGAGATCCTCGCCTCCCGCAGCAACGAGCACATCCGGGAACTGAGCAGAGCCTACCAAGCAGGTAGGCTGCCCCAGGTCCAGGCCCTCCCAGATCCCTGTGTGTCCCTGGCCGGGTCACACCCTCTCCCAGGGCCTCTGTTCCTTCCTGGATTCAGGTTTGGGACAAGCCTGACAAGGGGCCAGGACAACCTGGAGTTCACCCCCTCAGCCTCCCCCCCCGCCCCCCCACACACACAGATTTTCCCAATGTGTGTGTTCCTGGAGAGCATCGTGGGCCACCTGTCTCGAGCCCAGGACCCTTCTCTGGCCAGTGACTGTCTGCAGTGGGCTGCTCAGTCCACCGGGCTACAAGGTGGGCCTTTCTCTTCTCCCAGAATGCAGAAAGACCCTGGAGGAGGCCATTCGAAGCGACACGTCAGGACACTTCCAGCGGCTCCTCATCTCTCTCTCTCAGGTGTCTTTCCCGCAGCAGAGAGGGGCCTCCCTGAGCAGGGAGGGGAGGAGGGGAGCGACGGGCAGCCCCAGGGAGTGGTCTTGACCACACAGCCTGTCTCCTTTCAGGGAAACCGGGATGAAAGCACAAATGTGGACATGTCGCTCGTCCAGAGAGATGTCCAGGTGAGTGTGTGGCCAGATCAGGCACCTGCCCGGGCTTCCTGAGCTGGTGGGAGGCCGCTCCCTCTTCCTGAGGGAAGAGGTATAGGATGGACCGAGAACGGCAGGAGTGGTCCCGATGTGTGACCTCCGGAGGCCCTATCAGCGGTGCGGCCTGACGCAGGTCCCCGCCGCGGGCGTTTCCCTACCTGTGGAGGCAATTTCCTCGAGGACCTTAGAGCGGTTATGAAGGTGGAGCTTCGTGTGACCTGGCACTTGTGTTGGTTGCATTGCCATGATGTCTGCAAATGGGCAGAACCCACACTTGCTGGTGAAGCTTTTCAAGGTCTGAGCCTGGAAACTGGTTGTCGCGTTAATTGTGCAGCCTTAGCATTCTGTCCTTGTGCCCAGTCTGGTGTGAGCTGCAGACAGAGAGGGGGTGTCCCCATTTCCACTCTTGGTCCAGGCACCTGAGTGCCCCTCTGGAGGAGTTTGAATTCAGAGCATTGAGTCTGGAGAGAGCTCAGCTCCCTGGTGGGACGGAGCGGCCCTCCCTTTCCCTCATCGCTGCTCCTGCCACCCCCGTAGGCTTCCCCGGGCACGGCCCTGGTCTCCTGTCTCCCCCAGCGGCCAAGCTGAAGAGCACCTCTGTGGAGTGCCCTCTTGCTAGGGTTGGAAGAGAGCCACTCTTAGGATCTGGTTCATTTTGCTTGCCAAATGGGGAACTGAGACTTAAAAGGTTGACATTGTGCCCAGAGAAACATGGAGGCAGAGCCTGGACGAGGGCCCAGCCTCCTGGCTGTGTTCCTGCAGGGAACACGCTGACCCCTGGCCCCAGATTCCCTCCTGAGGGTCTGCCTTACCCTCCCCCTGGCTGGAGACACCCATTCCCGTTTCCAGACTCGGACAGTCTTGCAGCTCCCAGGCTCTGGTTCTGGCCCGAGTGGGAACATTCCTGTTTTCCCATCTCTGTGTGAGCCATTCCCCAGCTGATGTGGAAGTGGCTTCAGTCTTGAGGTCTTGTGCCTGCTGCTCGGCCTTCATGGCCTGGACCTGTTCCTGCCTCCCCTGGACCTGTGGGGTCTTGGATCCCCTGATGGCCACCCTCCCCCCTGCATGTCGGTGCCTGTAGATCTGAAAGTTGTTACTTGAGGCTGGAAGGCACTTTGGAGCCATCTGTTGCAAGGGCTGCAAATTGGCAAATATTTTGGACTCGAACTTTCAAAAGCTTAACAGGCAAATGCAAATTCTGCCCATTTGCAAACATCATGGCATATGCAACCACAGGGAGAGCACCTCGCATATGAATCCCACGTCTGTAACTGACTTATCAGTTACTGTCATGCTCATCTCCATGTTCCTCTGAAAGATTGGGAACTTCACTTAGATCTGGATCTGGCTGCTCGTGAGCAGCGGGCCTGGCAGAGAGGGCCTGCATTGCCCCGTCACAGAGCTTGCTGGTGCTGAGAAGTAGCCGCCCTCTGTGGTTAGCCTTGGTCCCCACCTCTCTCTGGCCCTATTGGCTTTTGTGTTTGCGACCCCCAAACCTAACGCAGCATTCACATTGTAGTGATGAGAGGGCCAGTGGCTGCCTGCCGAGAGCCTCGCGGCGCGTTGGCTGCGAGCGAGGACTCCGGTCCCTCGTCCTTTATCCTGCGTGCTGCTGCTCCCTTAGTTGGTTAAGGCAGTTCCTGTCCTATCCTGGCTCCCCTCGGCCTTGGTTCTCCTGGGTCCAAGTTCTTTCAGCTTCAGGACCCGTGGTGTTACCAGGGTAGGGATGTGTGGATGGTGTCCGGTCCTGCACAATGAGTGGAGCATAGCGGGGCACTGGCCCTAACCCTTCCCCTCGGGGCCTGCGGGGCCCGGAGTCTCTGCCCAGCTCTCGTGGGTGACCTGGATCTGGTGTTGGGTGAGCCTGCATGGGATGCCATGGTCCCCTCTGTCTGTCCAGGAGCTGTACGCAGCTGGGGAGAACCGCCTGGGAACAGATGAGTCCAAGTTCAATGCAATCCTGTGCGCCCGGAGCCGGGCCCATCTGGTGGCAGGTAAGGCAGTGCCAGGCCTCCCCGGGCCAGGTAAGGAGGGCAGACAAGGTACAGCAGCAGCTCCTCTCTGCATGGGCTCTCGCCTCCTCGTAGTAACGGGTGAAGGGGGCCAAATATATGGTGACGGAAGATGATCTGACTGGGTGGTGGGCACACAGTGCAATATATCAAGGCGGCCAAGATTTCAGGCGAACGATGAGCAAGACATTTCCCTTCACCTTAAAAGTTTATTACAAATCTCTTCCGACATCCTGTCTGGGTCTGTGTGACTATGGCCAGGTGATCTCGAGCAGGAAAAGAGATTTGTCCCTGGCTGGTTAGTTCAGTTGGTCGGAGCATTGTTCCATCGCCCCAAGGTTGCAGGTTCGATTCCTAGTCAGGGCACATGCAGGAATCAACCAATGGGCTCAGCGGGTGTGGCTCAGTGGTTGAGCCATTTATTCCTGGTGAGGGCACATACCAGGGTTCTGGGCTCAATCCCCCAGTAGGGGACGTGTAGGAGGCAACCAATCAATGGTTCTTTCTCATCATTGATGTTTCTATCTCTCCCTCTCCATTCCTCTCTGAAATCAATAAAGATATATTAAAAAAAAGGAAAAGACAAGCAGACAGTAACATAACCCCGAGCCTGTTCACATGAGCAGAAGCCACAGGATTCAGCTTTGTAATTATTCCGGGCCAGGGTCCTCTGAAGTCAATAAAAATATGTTGTTTTTTTAAGTGTTAGAGGTTCTGAGATGGCAAGAGGTCAACTCAGGAGGTGTGACTCTCCCCAGAGCCCTGGTCCCAGCCTTCTCTGCTGAAAGGCTCAGCAAGGCCATGAGGGAGGTTACTTCCCCATGGAGGGGGGCTGTGTGTGCCACTTTCTGATCTAACCAACTGAGCCACCTGGCCAGCGCAGACTTAATTCCCGCTTTAAAGGCAATTAGTTATCTCCAGATACAGCTGCATTCTGAGGTCCTAGGGGCTAGCACTTCATGTGAATTGAGGGAAGATGACAGAATTCAGCCCACAATGTGCTCCTTCTCTCTTCTCAAGTTTTCAACGAGTATCAGCGAATGACAGGCCGGGACATTGAGAAGAGCATCTGTCGGGAGATGTCCGGGGACCTGGAGCATGGCATGCTGGCCGTGGGTAGGTGTCCTGGGCCTGCGTGTTCGCTGTGTGCCCGCCAGGGCTGGCACGTACTGGGAGCTTTCAGGGTGCTTACTGTCCTCTGGTTGAGGGCAGGCAGAGCAGTGAAAGAACCACAGGACCCGAGATGGCCCAGTCCAGCGGGCTGAATGTGGGGGGTCGCCCTGCTCCCCATCACCACGTGGTTGCACCCCCGGCTGTCTGGAGGTGTCTTGTTTCTATTTCAAGCGCTGCCCTGGGGAGGGCGTGCAGTGCGGGTATTCGTGGGAGAACCAGCTGCCCTGCTGGGAGAGATGACTCATCCTGCCAAGTTTCCTCTAAAAATACATCCCCGGGCAGTTGTCAGATGTTTGTGATGGAATCACGTGGTTGCAACAGCAACACAAGCCTCGCTGGAGGAGAGCTCCCTGCAGGCCCCGCCCCGCCCTCTGAAGCCAGGGCTCCAGGCCCCGCCCTCAGGGTTGGCTCCTCTTTAAACCCACTTGGGAGACACATGGTTTGTCCAGCTTTTGCTTTTTTCCTTTCCTTTCCTTTCCTTTCCTTTCCTTTCCTTTCCTTTCCTTTCCTTTCCTTTCCTGTCCTGTCCTGTCCTGTCCTGTCCTGTCCTGTCCTGTCCTTTCCTTTCCCTTTCCTTTCCTTTCCCTTTCCCTTTCCTTTCCTGTCCTTTCCTGTCCTTTCCTGTCCTTTCCTTGTCCTTTCCTTGTCCTTTCCTTGTCCTTTCCTTGCCCTTTCCTTGCCCTTTCCTTGCCCTTTCCTTGCCCTTTCCTTGCCCTTTCCTTGCCCTTTCCTTGCCCTTTCCTTGCCCTTTCCTTGCCCTTTCCTTGCCCTTTCCTTGCCCTTTCCTTGCCCTTTCCTTTCCTTTCCGCTTTCTGATGGGAGAAGTGACCAACCCTCCTGCTTCCCTGCGTGTCCCCTATGGTAGGCCCCATGGCCTGAGCACTCTGGGGAGACATTCCACTCGGCCTGCTTCCGCCACAAGGTCCTCAGCATCTCCAGTTCCCCCTCCCACTCTGGGGTCGCCATCCCGTTCTTCCCTTTGTGGCTCCTTTCGCCCTGCTGGTGCCAGGAAAGAGGCCGGGGTGCCGTCCGGGCTGCATGTTTATCCAAAGAACGAGCCCAGACCGAGGCTGACTGACCCTGGAGGAGAAGGGAGAGGAGGTGGCCCCCGGACTGTTGCCTGCAGAGCGAGTTATGCTGTTTCTCTCTTCCAGTGAAATGCCTCAAGAACACCCCTGCCTTCTTTGCTGAAAGGCTCAACAAGGCCATGAGGGTACGCAACTTCCCCGTGGAGGGGCGGGGTGCGGGGGGTCAGCCTCACCTTGGCTGGGACCAGCGCTCCTGGTAGAAGGCATGGGGAGCTCAGCTCAGCCAGGAGGACTGAGGGCACCAGAGGCCCGGGAGGGTGGGACGGTGAGGCCCGTGCTCACACCTCGGTGGACTCTCTAGGGAGCAGGAACGAAGGACCGGACCCTGATTCGCATCATGGTGTCCCGCAGCGAGATCGACCTCCTGGACATCAGGGCGGAGTACAAGCGGCTGTACGGCAAGTCGCTGTACCACGACATCACGGTACGGCCCCCGGGGCTGGGCCGCCCGCTGGCCTGTGGGCACCCTGCCACCACAGTCCCCTGCACCTCCCCTCAGCTCCCACGGCGTGGCCTCTGCAGGCCCTGGTGTGTTTGTGGGCCTTGTCCTTTCTCTCTCAGCTTTTACTTCTTCATCCAGCTGCCCCTAATAGGTCCTCCCTGCTGCCACCCCAGCCCTCAGCAGTGAGGAGGGCGGGGCAGAGGGCTCGATCAGTCCCGCAGCATGGAGCCCAGCCCTGGCTCCTCTGCTGCTGGAGTTCTGTGTGATCTACCTCAGCCCTCCAACCCATTCCCATCACACCGCAAGGCGCTGGTGCTCCCCTGGGAGAGGTGAACGTGGACGAGGCGGTCCCCGTAAAGCATAGCGTGTGACATGTGTCTGACAGTCACCGTGTGCAGAGCCCTGTCTGCGTAGCCCCGCAGTTACTAGTAAATTCTGAACTCGCGTGAGCCTTGCAAGTGCAGTCACCATGACCCAGTCCCAATTCAAACCCATTAGCATGTGTTATTGGGCAAGTCACTGGGAGACGCTAACTCCGTTGCCCTGGCTATAGCGATGATGTTCTCTGTAGAAGAGAATGAGTAATTAGCCACAAAGGATCACTTCTGTGCCGGCGGGCTGTGGCGTCTACAAGACCCCACAGGCCTTGCCTTCAGTGAAGGACATGATTAGACATTAGCTAAGCGAGGCTGCACTTTGAAGGAAGTCCCGTGGGCTCAGGGGGCTGTGGGGGGGGGGGGGGGGAGACAGCAGTGTGAACTGGGTGCCCAGATGATACAGCGCCTCCACTGTCAGGCCGGCACATTTCCCAAGTGGGGCCCACTACCGTTACAGTGTGATCCCCATCGGGTGCCTCAGAAATGCTCGGGGAAGTGGCACCAGGAGTTAGCCCTGGGCGGTGGTGTGTCTGACTGTTTAAAGTGTGTGTGTGTGTGTCAGAATCTGACTTTGATATTGGGGTGATGTCGCTTTTGGTTTCTATGAGGACTGGGAGAGGCCAAGCTGCATTGCCAAGGCCCTCGCTGCCTATGTGGGAGTCATGGCCGCTCGGGGGCCTTCGGGAGGGGCATTTTCCTGGGATGGGCCTCCGCTCTGTGAGGGCACCTGGGGATTAGAAAATGAGGAGCCAGGAGGCCAGACTGGCCACATCTCCCTCACCGACGCACCCATTTCTGTGACAGGGAGACACCTCGGGGGATTACCGGAAGATCCTGCTGAAGATCTGTGGTGGCAACGACTGAGCGATGACCGTGGCTCACTGACCACCTGCCACAGTGATGCTAGGAAAAGGCCCAAAGAATGTCTTTCTGCTCCTACCCCAGTGCCGACAACCCGCAGAGCCTCGGGCCCATCTCCCGCCCACCCCCGCCCCTCCTGACCATACCCTCACCCCCCCCGCCCCTCCTGACCGTGCCCACCCCGCCCTTCCTGACTGTGCCCACCCCCCGCCCCTCCTGACCATACCCTCACCCCCTCCGCCCCTCCTGACTGTGCCCATCTATGCCCACCCGCCCCTCCTGACCGTGCCCACCCCACCCCTCCTGACTATGCCCTTGGGCCTGGTTGACCTGGATGCTCAGGATACGTCTCCTTCCCTCGTCCCCTCTCAGCCTCTTGCTGCTAAAGTAGATGTTTTGTCTCTGACTCATGCAGCCTTCCCCTTTGTTTGTAGCTGAGACACGGCTTCATTTCAGTCACATGATTTTAATGTTTTTGGAGGCATTTTTTATAATCATTGCCAGCAGGCATGTCCACTCTGCTGCCGCCCGTTTCGGGAAGTGTGAGCGGTTGGGGGCCGTGCCATGTCCTCACTGCGGAGGAAGAGGGAGGACCTTTCAGGGCAATCTTAGAATCTGGTGAGAATGTCATGAGCTTTGTTAGTGCCAAACTCACTGCTTTTTAGAGCAAAAAAAAAAAAACAAAACAAAACAACAACAACAGAAAGTCACCTGTTCCTTCTTCATGTAAAACCAGGGACTAGAGCAGCCCTGGTTCAGGGCTCTCTGTAATGCAGGATGTGCCTTATGTAAACCTGGATGCTGATGGCCAAAAGCTGTTTCTCAATTAAAGCCAGCCAGCTCTGGAACATTCTGGAAACGGCCTCTTTTCTTCTGCTTTGTGATTCTGCCCTGTCCCCAGGGGTTCCAACCTTATTAGCCAGTGAAATTATGTGGCTTCACATAGAAGCTTGTGCTCAGGAAACCTGGGCATGAGGAGTTCACATGTAAGGATGCTTCTGAAATCCACGAGGGGCCCAGACACTGAGAAGGGTGGAGATTTGGATCACATGAGAGCAAGGGAGGGGAGGAGGGGTGTGGTCAGGTCTGAGGGAACTTCTGCAGATACCCCTGGCCCAGGCAACAGCTGGAGGGCCACACGATGCCCATTCTCTTCCTTGGATGGGGAGTTATAATCCTAGCCAAAGATTTGACCCTAGTTCTACGGTCAGCTTTTTCCTGCCCTGGATGATATGACTGGAGTCAGACCTATAAACAGAAATCAACCTAAACCACTTCCCCAGGAGGGTAACAGCTTACATTTTCACCCACCACACCTGCCACCTGTGCTCTGAGATGGGGGTCATCACCCAGGCTTCCACCTGACACATACAGGGTCCCCTCTCAGCAAAGGATCCAATCAGGCCCCCAACTCTGCAAGGGGCTCTTGCCCTCAGCCCTGGCTCCTTGGAAAGCTCTCCTTTGCCTAATCCTGTTGTCCACCTGAACCTGGTTCCTTCCTAACAAGCCAGTCCTGAGGTAGAAAGAGCACTGGCCTGGGAATCCAGCATCCCTGTTCTGATCTCAGCTGAGCCACTGATTGGCTGTGTGATCCTGGGAAAGTCACTTCCCTCTTTGGGCCTCTTGACATTTGTAAAGTGAAGAGCTCCAAGTGAGTTTGAAAGGGAAACTGACAGGGAATAATAGTTCAGCAATCCCAGGTGGAGACTTCAACACCCACTTTTTCTATTAGAACAATTAGACAAGGTAGAAAAGGAAACGGAAAACTTGAACACTATCAACTACCTAGACCTAACAGACAGAGAACAGTGCACCCAGCAACAGAATATACACTCTCAAGTGCACATAGGAAATATCCAGATAGACCACAAAAGTAAATAAATTTTAGAAGATAAAAACCATAGAGTATCTTCTATGACCACATGAATAGATGGAAACAGAACAACATACTCTTTAAAAAATAACCCAATGAGTTAATAAATGACAGGAGAAATTAGGAAATACTTGGAGATTAATGAAAATGAAAACAACGATTGGATCCTTTGCTGAGAGGGGACCCTGTATGTGTCAGGTGGAAGCCTGGGTGATGACCCCCCTCTCAGAGCACAGGTGGCAGGTGTGGTGGGTGAAAATGTAAGCTGTTACCCTTCTGAGTACTGCTTCCACTGGGCTGCAGTGGAAGCAGTGCTCAGAAGGAAACAGCTGTAAAGGCCTACATTAAAAAAAAGAAAAAGATCTCAAACCAAAAACCTAACTTTCCATTTTAAGGAATTAGAAAAAGAAGAGCAAACTAAACCCAAAGCAACCAAAAGGAAGGAAATAAATATTAGTGCAGATAAACAAAATAGAGAGTAGAAAAAAAGCAATAGAATCAATGAAATGAAAAGGCCCTTTGTAAAGATCAACAAAATTGACAAACCTTTAGTTAGATGAAGAAGAGAGAGACAATTCAATTACTAAAGTCAAAAATGAAAGTGTTATTACTAGCAACTACATACAAATAAAGGATTACAAGAAGATACTGTTAACAATCGTATGACAACATATTAGATAACCTAGAAGAAATAGAAGATTCTTAGGAACATACAAATTCTCAAATCTGACTCAAATAAAAAATCTGAATAGACTTATGAGATTAAATCTGTACTTTAAAAAAAACTCCCAATAAAGGAAAATAGACTGATGCATTATATCAAATGTTTAAAGACGTGACATCAATCTTTCTCAAACTATCCAAAATATAGAAGTAACTATTCCAATAAATAGAGAATATTAAGAAAATTCTTAATTCACTCTGAGACCAGTGTTACCCTGATACCAAAGCCAGACAAAGACATCACAAGAAAAATGCAAAAATCCTCATTGAAATACTAGCAAACTGCACCTAGCAGCATGTTAAAAGAATTAATTACCACGACCAAGTGGGATAAATCAAAGAAATTATTCAAAACTCAATGTAATACACATTATTGAGATAAAAACCACATGATCATCTCCATGCAGAAAAAGCATTTGAGAAAACCCAACAACACTTAATGATTAAAAAACCCAAGAAACTATAAAGGAAAATTATCAAACTGAAATAAAGAGCATCTGTGGAAAAACAGCTGATATACTTCATGATGAAAGAATGAATTTTTAGCCATGCAATTGGGCAAGAAAAAGAAATAAACCCCTGGCCAGGCTGGCCAGAGCCCACCCATGCACGAATTCATGCACTGGGCCTCTAATATATATATACTGGCCAGATTATTATGCATTCAGAGATCATAATATCATAATCTGCCCACTCAGTGTATATATAAAATCCTAGATTATCCACACATATACTATTAGAGTTAATAAAGGAATTCAATAAAGTTGTAGAGTAAGATACATGATGAACATAACAAAAATCTGTTGTATTTTTAAACATTAGCAATGAACAATTTGAAAACGAAATGAAAACAATCCCATTTACAATAACATCAAAAAGAATAAAAATATTTCAGGATAAATTTCACCAATGTAGTGTAAGATTTGTACACTGAAAAACACAAAAATATGGATCCCGCGGGGGCCGCGCTGCCGGGCCAGGCCGAGCTGGGCGGGCTCGGCGCCTCTCTCTCCGCGGGCAGGGCGCCCGCGAGCCTCCTCCCCGGACCCCGAACCCTTTCGGGGCTCCGCCTTTGCAGCTTGGCCTGCGCCCCCCCCCCTCCTTTTCCCCATCTCCCCCCCTCCCCCCGCCGCCAGGGGGGCTCCGGACAGGCCGTGGTGACCCTGGTGACGCCTACGATCCCAGACAGGGCAGGTCTCGCAGAAGCTGGCGGGCAGGGTCACCACCTTAAGCCGCCCCCTTGGTACCTAACAGACATGAAGTACACATCGCCGTGTCCGGAGGTGACACCCTCTCTTCTCCCCCCGCCTAGGCGGTGGGGAATGGCTGATTCCTCCAAGTCCCAGGTCTGGTCTTGTCTTTTTTCTTTTCTTTTCTTTTTTTAATATACTTTATTGATTTTTTTTTTTTTTTTACAGAGAGGAAGAGAGAGGGATAGAGAGCCAGGAACATCGATGATAGAGAGACATCGGCCAGCTGCCTCCTGCACACACACACACACACACACACACACACACACACACACCCCACCACCGGGGATGTGCCCGCAACCAGGGCGCATGCCCTTGACCGGAATCGAACCTGGGACCCCCCAGTCCGCAGACCGATGCTCTATCCACTGGGCCAAACCGGCCTCGGCAGTCCCAGGTCTTTTGAGCTAACGACTCACCTTCAGTGCAGCTGAGTAGATTTTCTTGCCCTGCTCCTATTCCCAACTTGTTTTCTTACATTTCCTAAAAGGATGAAGGCGCGCGGGGGCGGGTGTGTGTGTGTGTTTGTGTGTGTGTGTGTGTGTGTGTGTGTGTGTGTGTGTGTGTGTGTTGCTATTTGACATTTACAAATCTGAATTATGAGGGTATGGCTATCTCACAGGCATTGAATGGAACCCAGTTTTTTGGCTGAAAAAACAAAAAAAGCATCTTTTATTTTTCCATTGATTAACCTTTTTGGTGGAAAAGTATCTACTGAGGCTGTAATTTTTTTTTTTAATCCCTCTACTTCAACATTCTTTTCTAATTTAAATTGTATGAAAGCTTCCAAAATAGTTTTGGGCCTGTAAGTTTTAATCAGGCTTGCCTCCCTTCTGGCCCTAGATTGGCCTGCCACAGCGTGACACTTGAAAATTGTGATGGAAACAGTGAGGGGGGAGACTGATCCAAACCCATCCTTAGTCCTCCAGCTTCTTGAGGATACAAAGAGTATTTGCAGGGACATTTTTCAAAAATTCATGTTTGAAACACTTGTAGGATGCTTGTGACCTCGCAATAGAAGTTGTAGTCAAGTTATTCAAATGTATCCTGTAAGCTCTGGCAATGCCTATGCTGTGCAAATAATACATTTGTATTTTCTATTTGCAATAAAGGTAAAAACAGGCTCTTAAATTTTCAGAAATGTTCTTGAGGCTTTT